AAAAAGAAGCAAAACAAAAAGGCTATAAATAACTCCAGGTCTGTCTTCTGACCCTTAAGGATGCTTTCCAATCCAGTCTGATGAGGTACCGAGTCCTGTCCCCTGAGTCAGAAGTCTGTTTTCAGGATCCCTCAGGGACTTGGTTACAATTCTTCCCATGCTGCCTTGTGGCATTCCCTTCATGTTTTACCACACTGTGTAGGAGGCAGACCAGGCACACTTTCTGCAGTGTGTCCAGCGCTGTCCCCAGGAGTTGTGTGGGTCAGTGAGGGGATGGCGTGTCTTGTGGTAGGGCCAGCCCTATGGTCCTCTCTGTGCATTAGCTGCTCCAAGCAGGGATGTTGTCCTTGGGCTTGGTGGTCCATGATGAGGTTCTCTCTCACTCTTAGTTTGCACCCATGTGGTCTGGACAGACCTGCCACTCTTCCTGGGCTATATGTTCAGTGCCATTCTCTGTATTACATTCTTCTGTAGAGGGGTCTACATATCTCAGCCTGGGTCCAACCCTGTTGTCCTCTCTGTTAGTTCCCTGCTTGATGCCAGTATGTGGCCCTAAAGGCTTGGTGTTGCAAGATGAGGTCTGGCCCCTCTCTCCCTTTCCTATGGAGATAAACGATACTCTCCTCATGGGTGGATTAGTGCCCTGTTCCCTGACCACCTTGTCATATTTTCCTCTCTCTCTCTCTTTTCCTCTCCTTTTAAGTTGGCTACTATATGGTTCCCAGGTTTGGGTCTGACCCCTGTAAAAGTGCCTGGACCTTGACCCAGCAATTATGCATGAAGTAGCTTATCTTCAATGCCCATTGTACTTTTTGAGCTTACCTCAGTGGACTCATGTGGTACTTGTCCCTTTGTGCTTATCTAATTCCCTTAGCATAATTTCCTCCAACTCTTCCTATGATACTAGGTGCATCATGAGTTCATTCTTGCTTTTAAGGGCTGCATAAAATACCATTGCATATACATACCAGAGTATTTTCAATCCATTCATCAGCTGATGGAAATTTAGATTGTTTCCAATTCTTCATGATTGTGAACTATGCCACAATGAACATGGGGGCGCAGATGTCTGGTTTGGGTTGGTTTCTTAATTCTTCTGGGTATATGCCCAGTA